AAAAGGAGCTGGTCTCCTGGCCCGTTTATCACAGCTTGAGGGCTCGTCCGGGATAGCCACGCCCTGAAGAGGACCAGGGACGGGACAGCTGCCCACCCTATTGGGCCTCCGGGGGACAGCTGGCTATACCGGACCCAGAAGAACAGCCTGGGATCGACATCGCAGAAGAGCACCGGATTGGGTAAGCCACCGGTGGCGGGAGTAGGAGGCGAGTGAGTGGATGTGTGAGTGAGACGGGGGCTGGCAGCTCAGACCCCCGGGGCGAGTGTGGACTGCCCAGTACCGCGGTTCCGGACTCCCGCGAGGGGGCCGGCCGGGAACGGCAGGAAGCGAAAGAGGCTCACTTGGGCCTAGAGAAACGAGTGAGGCGTCTCCTGGGGATAAAAGCCCCCTCTCTGAGTGCGCAGAGGGTACGTAAGAGAGTGAGTGGCGCACATAGGGGTAGGCCCCTCTACTGAAAAGGGCTAAACGGCCTAGGCTGCTCCGGGCGTGTGGAAGGCCTAGGTGAGTGAGAGTCACACGCAGGCAATCTAGGTAACTCCCGGGGTGGTGTGTGGGGGTGCCTAGGTTCGGTGTGAGTGAACACACCCCCCCCGCTTGGGTACTCAGACGACCTGACCGGGGAATTGGAATTGGGGGTCCCCAGGCCCTACCGGCACCAGGCGGTCAGCGAAGGGCCCTCGCTTCCCAGGGTCTGTGACACAGGACGTGCTGAAAGGCTCTAGTTGTCGCGGCTCAGTCTCGGCTCAGGGGGTTCCTGGGAAGGGAGGTCGTTAACCTGCTGCCGGAGAGCACAGGGGCAGGTAGTCTGCGCGGGCGGGCGAGGCAGCTAGAGTAATACACTCACGCATCCCTTAGCCGAAGCCATTCCCTGGTGGGCGGAGCGGCTAGGAGGCAAGGGGGAATTCTCCCACCACTCACTTACAGTCAGCCCTCGCGCAGAAGCTATTCTCACTGGGGAAGGGGGATAGTCAGGGAGCGGAGGGGCAGGGGGTTCCGGGGTGAGCCCTGCTGACCAAATCTTGTGGACGGCACTGAGACAGGGACGGGGGAAGGTCCCAGGAGCGTCTAGTGCTAGGGTCCCCTCGACGTCGACCCAGGAGTGCTCATAGTCTTCGCTGGCAAGGGGGTCAGGGAGGCGAGGCGCGAGGGGAACGGGATTGGGGTGTAGGGAGGGGCAAGCGGAACCTGCAAGCCCCGCTGGGACCTAACCCCCGGGGCAAGCGGAGACTGCAAGCCCCAGAAAATTCAAAGTGTGAGTGGAAGGCCGGCCGAGTGTAAGAAAGGGTGTGGATTCCTGTGTGAGAAAATTGAGTGTATTCCCTAGTGTGAAAAGAGGAGAGAGTGAATTCCTAGAGTGTGAGTTTTTGTTGAGGTTTGAAAGGTCAGTTGTCTGTCATTAGAAATTTTTTAGTTTGAGCAGGAGTACCTTTATAAAGTTTAAGTAAGGGCCAGTTTTAAGTTAGAGGTTGTGTTGTTTGTCAGTTCCAGTTTCGTTCGAGTAGAGGCACCCTAAGATTTTTTAAGTGAAGGCCCGGAGATAGGAGGAGCAATGAGACAATGTTTAAGTAAGAGAGTAGGTCCCAAGGGGAATGAAGAGGCCACCAGAACCATTCCCCCCGATAGCCCACTAGGGCAAATGTTAAATTGCTGGGATGCACAAGAGGCCACCAAGGGCCTAGACCGGATCAAGATGATCCATTACTGTATAGAGGTCTAGCCCAAACTAGAGATACAAGGACAGTGGCCTTGGTATGGTACTAAAGATCCTTGGATGTGCTCCCAACTGTACCAGCATCTGAAAACCAGAAGAACTGAGCCCAGAAAGAGTATCAGGGTATTCTAGCCATACCTGCACCAAAAACAAAGAGGGACATAAGAAAACTCTTAAGCCTTTTTAGATATTGCAAACTATGGATGGAACAATATACCCAGAGCATCAAGTTTCTTTATGAAAAGCTAGTTGATTGTGAACCCATAAGGTAGACAGCTGAAGATGAAGCGCAATTAAATCGGCTGAAGGTTAAGCTGTCCTCAGCACCAGTTTTAAGCCTGCCTGACTTAAAAAAAAAAAGAATTTGATTTGTTTGTCAACTCTGAAGAAGGGACTGCATATGGGGTTCTGACCCAGGAATGGGGAGGATGTCGTAAGCCCATAGCCTGTCAATCCAAACTGCTGGACCCAGTAGCTCGTGGGTGGCCCACCTGCATGCAATCAATAGCTGCTGCTGCCATTTTAATAGAAGAGGCCAAAAAGCTAACCCTACAGGATAAGATCAGAGTCCACACACCACATGATTTAAAAACAATCTTGAGCCGAAAGGCTCAGCAGTGGCTGACAGATGCCAGGATATTAAAATATGAAGTCATCCTAATGGATACTAGCAATTTGGAGCTAGTAACCTCCAAGGGCCTGAACCTGGCACAATTTTTTTGTCAGGGAAGCCTCTGTCTGAATTAGAACATGACTGCTTAGAATTGGTAAATCTCCAAACCAAAGTGAGGGAGGATCTGGGAGATGTACCCCTGCCCTATGGGAAGGTACTATTTACTGATGGTTCCTCCAGGGTGGTGGAGGGGAAAAGATATTCAGGGTATGCAGTAGTCATAGAGGTAGGGGAAGGAAAACTAGAGGTCCTAGAAAAAGGGAGACTACCCCCCAGTTGGTCAGCTCAGTGCTGTGAGGTTCATGCTCTAAAGAGGGGTCTGGACTTGCTAGAGAGAGAAAAAGGAACCATCTATACAGATTCAAAGTATGCCTTTGGGATAGTCCATACCTTTGGTAAGATCTGGGAGGAGAGAGGCTACCTGAACTCCAAAGGGAAGAACCTGGCACATGAAGGGCTGATTAAATCAGTATTAGAGTCCTTGACCAAACCCAAAGAGATTGCAGTGGTCCACATGAAGGGGCATCAGAAGGGAGACTCCTTAGAAAGCAGAGGGAACCGACTTGCTGACCAAGCAGCTAAAGAAGTGGCCTTAGATCCAAAGGAATCAGTAAAAGTTTTTAAACTAGATGAGGTAGTAACTGAAGAAGACGGAAAAAAGAAACCAATATTTACCAAGAAAGAGTGGGAAGTAATAAAAAAATTAGAACTGTCTCAAGGAGAACAAGGAGAATGGTTAACCTCAGATGGGCGAAAGTTTCTGAACAAGGCCTTAGCCCGGAAAATATTAAATGAGATACATGAACTGACTCATTGGGGAACCCAAGGGTTGTGTGATCATTTTCTGAGAGAAAACCTATACTTGGGAGCAACATCTAGCAAAGGCCACCTGGTTAGTCAATACCAGAGATTCCACCAACTGAGAAGGTCCTGCCCAGTCTGAGTCTTTACATGTAGTAGACGGAGACAAAGTCCCAGTAGTACATGTCAGAGGTCTGCTAGGGAAGACAGTTTGGGTCAATTCTACCTTGGGCACAGACAAAACCCATTCGTGGGGTTGTCTTTGCTCAAGGACCAGGTTGTACATGGTGGATAATGCAGAGAGATGGAACAACACGATGTGTACCTCAGGGAGAACTGATCATTGGGTAAAAGGTTACTGCCATTGTCTGTACCTTAAACCACGCAGACATGAAACAGAAGGAAATGTGTAAGTGTTGAAGGTATGAGCAAGTGAAAGATGGTGTATTGAGTAAGTAAAATGAGAGAGTGGGGAATCCTGCAGCTCTCCAGCGTGGGGGGGGTCTGGATTCAGTAGCTTGTTGTGGGGCTTGACAGGGGCATGATGGATATACTGCTTGTATTTTTTTGGGTGGAACGGAGGGGAAGTTTCTATGTATGTAAATGTGTGCAGAGTTAGAATGTTAGTTTTGGCAGTGAGTCGACGATATGGGGATAAGGGGTGGAAAGTCCTGGGTTGATTATGATGTTAAATTGTATCCCCATTTGTCCACCTAACTCAGACACAGGTTCTGTATTCTTAAAATTCCATCTGAGAGTAAAAGTGAGTGGAAAAGAAGCACCAAGTCTGTTATCAGACTGTACTTGCTCCCCCCCCGCATCGGGAGTTTTGACTACAGCACAGACAGACAACAAGACACAAATCGCCTTGGCTTTCCAACTAGCTGGAGCAGAGAGGTCTTCCTGGACTGTTTTCTTTCCCTTTTCTGAAACGAATTGAACTTGCTCTGGACTGGGGACTCGGGGGAGCACCGGGAGCTTGCACCCGTGGACTACCGGGAGCCCAGCCTGGGCAGCGGCATTTTCCAGCGCCAGAGGGACTGATAACAGAGCGAACACCCCCAGGAAAGAGACCCTCTGAAGTTTGTCATCTCTTCTGAAGGGCGAGAGGTTTTGTAATTTGATATCATTCATTTTTGTGCTGGGTAGTGCTGTGCCTGTGAAATGAACAGGTTTTTTTTCCACTTCTCTCAGAGAAATCTCTTCCCGAACTGGTTGGGGGGTGGGGGGAAAAGAGCCACATGGGTTTGCTTCCCGGGGGGAGCCCCCCCTGGAAGTTTTCTCCCAAATTTGCCCTAAACCAGGATAAAGAGGCAGCCAGAAATAGACTGAGAGAGAAAGAATATAAACAAAGACTGCAGAACTCTGCCGAGTGAGTTGGTTTAAGTGGGAGTGTTCTTAAAGTTCTTGTGGTTGTTGCTGTTAAATATTTTGATGTTAGCAAAGTTAGTTGAATGAAACCCCCCCCACCATGAACTTCTCCCACAGAACATTCTCCAAAAAGGCAACTAAATTAAAGAAGGTGGGAGAAGAAGGACCATACCATCTCTCCTGATCCCCCAAAAAGACCTAAGAGGCAAGACCGGGTGAGGCTAACAGGGAAGGTGAGCCATGAAGCTCCCTAAAACAAAACTAGCTCATACCGGACTCTTAGGTGGACTGATGTTGGTCCAGCTGGTGAGCCTTGGGATGGGGGACAGTGGAGAAGCATGTATCCCCTATATGATGGAGAGGATCTAGGATCACTGATGAGGGTCCACAAAAACATCAATCCCACCTGTTTTGATCACACCAAAATGGAAACCTGTCAGGAGGAAGGAAAGACATATTGGATTACTAGAAATACTGCCTCATTTAGGCAAGGTCTGCTTGGAGAATGCCCTGTAGGAGAATCCTGGCTCTGCTTTGAACAAGAAGGACTGAATGATGTAATAAAGGAAAAACAATTGAAGATAAAGAAAGGTGATCTGGATGAAACATGAGGTAAGAACCTATTCATTGACCTGATGGAGAGAATCAGCAGAGAGTTAAACTTAACCAATTGTTGGGTATGGATGCTAGCTTTAGAGCAGGCTGCAGAGAGCTGCAGAAACTGCAGGCCCATGGTCTCTCAGTCCTGCCTGAGAAACTAGCCTGGGAATTCAAAGGAGGATTTCAAAAAAATCCTCAGAGACAGAAAACAACTGCCAGGTGTTGTTTATCTGTCCTCTTGTTCTCCTTGCAGGAGAGAGTCAGAGGGGTTGTGTGCCACTGACCAATGATGGTGATGTAGCACTTTGCTAACCAATAAGAGTTTCTTTTCTGTACTTTCCACGTATCTGTCTATAAGACAGGCCTGAAGCAATAAACTAGAGGAATTCTCGTGTTGAAACTCCCTTGAGAGTTTGTGTCGTTTTTTCTAGCCGTTCCCAATCGGAACGACAGTTGGGTATGTGGGAACACCCAGATGTCAGATATTTGGCCCTGGGAAGAGATCAGCCTGGCACCTTTAGACATTCTAAGGTGGAAATTAACTGAGCAGAAACCCCAGACAGGGAACAGGGGACGAGAACAATGGGATCTGAAAACAAGAGTGATTGGGGAAGAATGCATTAAAAGGACAGGAAAAAGATACAAAACCCCTGTGGGAAAAATGGCCTGCAAAAGATACGTGACTGTGGAAGACTCAGGTAGCAGGTGGGTCCCTCAAGAACCAAACAGGTATTGGGCCACTGGGAGAAAGGAAAGGGGGTGTATTTATCATGAGGGGTACAAACTGTATGAGTGCGCAGAAAAAGGAATAAACCCTTTTTGGGGGTTAAGAGAACTCTCAAAATACTGGGAACATCCTACAGACACACAGGACACTTTCTGGAAGGCCCCTGAGTATTTATTTTGGATTTGTGGGAGCACTGCATATACCCACCTCCCAGGGGATTGGGCAGGAAGCTGCACAATAGGGATAATAAAGCCTGCTTTTTTCCTCCTACCTAAGAAATCAGGGTCATACTTGGGAGTCCCCTTGTATGATAACTTAAAAAAAGGCAGTCGAAAGAGAAGGCATGTAATGGACCTAGGAAGCAATCAGAAATGGAAGGGGAAGATCTGGACCCCTGAAGAAATAATTAAGACATATGGACCGGCCACGTGGGCCCAGGATGGATCCTGGGGGTATCGTACCCCAGTCTATATGTTAAATCGAATCATCCGTCTCCAGGCAGTATTAGAAGTGGTGTCAAACAGAACTGCCCTTGCTTTAGACCACATCAGCACACAATTGGCACAAACCAGGGCTGCAGTCCATCAGATTCGGCTGGCGGTGGACTACCTGTTGGCAGATGAAGGAGGCATTTGTGGAAAGTTTAATTCCTCTGAATGTTGCCTGGAGATAGATGATAAGAGTGAGGTAATCAAAAACATCTCAAAAGAAATACGAAAGATAGCTTATGTGGGCACCCAGGAATGGACTCCTCTGGTGAACTCAGACTGGTGGAATGACCTTTGGTCCTTCAAGGGAGGGTGGTGGAAAAAAAAATAGTCTTTATTGCTGTCTGTGCATTTGCAAGTTTCTTGTTCCTGCCCTGTTTACTCCCCTGCCTAATCAAGACAGTGACTACCACAGTACAAGCAAGCATCCAGATCCTTGAAATAAAAGATAAGAAGCAGGCCAGGATCATGTTAATGGAAACTCAAAGTCAGGATCGAGAGCACAAAACTGCCAGGGAAATATATGAGTAATATCGAGAATTAAGAGATAAATATTCCCAAGAGCCAGAAGTTAATGGTTGATGCGGGCTAGAGCCCGATCAAAATATAAGAGGGGGGATATTGTTAAGAATAATATGTTACAGTTGCTGTTTGTAAACTCCTTACTTACCTTGTACCCCTGTCGCAAATTGCTGTACCCCATATTTCTTGTTCGTGTTCAGCCAGGCACTGCCCCCACTGCTCCTAGACTCCCACATGGCAACACTGTACCCCTTTCCCGAGTTGCTGTACCGCCCTGAGGAGGAAGATGACATACTGACTTTTATGCAAACAAGAGAGACCAGAGACTTATGGGACACACCCAGACTGGAAAAAACCCTGAAACAATGAGCCACGCAAAAGGGAAGGAATAGAACCAGCACCATCTAACAAGGAAGACCCAGAGGAGTCCCCTGGCTTCTTTCCAGAGGCCGACATAACCTCGAGGATACTCGACTGGGATGACAGCCTACACTACGAGCCCAAAAGGAGGAGTCTTCCCGGGGACTCCCGTGCGGAAGGAAGGCCCAGCTCTGCCCTAGTGACAGAGGTGCACAGATCCTCCTCTTCTGTGGTGTCCAGTGGGAGCAGTGGCGGTGTGCGCGACCCCTCGGGCCCCCACCCCAGAGCTGTCCTGCTTAATAAAGGCCTTTTTAAAAGGAGCTGGTCTCCTGGCCTGTTTATCACACAGTATAGCGTCTGCTGTTTTCTGATCTCCCTCTTGCACGACATTCCGTGCCAATGCAGCCCATGTCTCCCTTCTTTCCCATGCGATAGCCTCACCCAAATCACGCTCTACCCCATGGACAAATTCATTTCCCATAAGGTGGTTGCAACCACAAGAATGTGGAACTAGGTGGAGTTGACCTTAAATGAAATATCCAATAATGAGCTTGTTTTTGTACTATGTTTGAGCCTAATAATTGATGATATATAAGTAGTTTTAGAGTTGCCAATAAATGTGACTTACTGATCATTCATATTGAGTGCTGTTTGTCTCCCAGCAAACTCATCATAATCTAGTTTTACAGTTGTATGAAAGGTTGTATTCCAAACTTACTAGATGATTCAATACATCAGTTTAGTAATTTCTGTACCTTTACTTCTCCGGAGAAATTCTCTTTTCCCATTAAAATCCCAATTTTCAAAAAATCTTGGAATGCTCATGAAGGTATTTTCCCTTTTTTTTTTATTTTTAGGGATCCCTTTCCTGTGCCTCAGTTTCCCTTGGGAAAAATCCCTCCTCCCAAGTTCTGGGTGGGGCTGGAATAATTTTCCCATAATTCCCTATAAAATTCCCAGTTTTCCATGGGAAAACTGAGGCACAAGAAAGGGATCCCATAAAAGGAAAGAAAAAATGGGGAAAATTCCTTCCTGAGCATTCCCAGATTTGGGAAAAATGGGATTTTTCCATGGAAATTGATCCCAAATCCCGGAAAACGGGAGGGATTTTTCCTCAGGGAAACTGAGGCACAGGAAAACAAAGCGGATCCTGAAGGAATCCCGGAATTTCCCACCGTTAACCGGAGATTTTTCCCAGGATTTCTCCCCCAATTCCTTCCTGTTTTTCCACCCTGGATGGGGTCAGGAATGGTTCCAGTGATGCTGATCCTTTGGAATTCCGTGGGAGCTTCAGATCCGTGCTGGAAGAATCTGAAGTGCCGGGAGCCGGGAGGAGAGGCCGGAATTCTGGTAAATCCTTGGGATGGGCCAGGAATCGGGAATGGGGAAAGGGAAGGGATGGGAGCAAGGAGGGGGTTTGGGAATGGGAATTTTCCCAGAGATATTTTGGGTTCAAATGGCAAAAACCCCAAAAATTTCAGGGATTTGGGAATCCAATCCCAAAAACACCAAATATTTGATTGATTTGGGAATTAAATCCCAAAAACTCCAAATATGTGATTGATTTGGGAATTAAAAAATGGAGGGATTTGGGTGTGGGAATTTTCCCAGAGATTTTTTGGAATCAAAAATCCAAAACAAGATCCAAAACAATTTGAGGGATTTGGGAATCAAATCCCAAAAATTTCCCCCCCCCGCAAAAAAAAAGGGTAAAAGAGAGCAAATTGCAAGGAGGAGAGGTCTCTAGATGTACTACTAAAGCAACATGTCCAGCTTTCATCTTTCAAGAGTGTCCCTGAGAAATAAATGTATCAGTGGAAAACACATAGGTAATTATTTATTTAGAACCAAAACACTGGGATTTTACCCCGTCATCCTTCAAGAGAGCTTGTTCCTGAGCCAAGAGCAGCCACTTGGGAACGTGTCCATCCTTTCATTCTCTTTGACACGGGCAGAACAGCAGAGTTCTCAGCAAGGACCTGCAGTCTATTCTGACTTCGCTCCAGCAAAAACTTCATTATCCTGAGATTATTCCTATCACTCGTGTAATATTTCAAAGAATTCATGAATTTGCTCCTGAGAATTTACTGTGAATCCTTATGTGCTTTGATGCACATTCAGTCTTTAGATTAAATAATTGATTATCATTAAATTAGACTATCAGACTGAGCATCACACATAACATACTAAAGCCTACCCTTAGTCTTTCCTACTCCCAAATATATGAAAATCTCAAATTGGCAGATTTGTTGAGCTGTGTTACCAAGACAACATTGTTGGGAGTTAGGTGTTTTTTTATTTTTAGTTCTGGCTTGCCTGTGGAATTTTTACCCATTAGTTTCAGAGAAAACATAACTGCGGGTACTTGGTGGGTGCTTGTGAAAAAGACAAAGAGTTCAGTTGGGCCCAGGGTGGGAAGGGGGCAGGACCCAGGGGAGGGTGGGGACAGTTTGGCGGCTTCTTCAGCTTCGGAGAAGAACACTTGGGGCGCAGAGCTATTGCAGTGCGGAGAAGGGAATTTCACCATCACCCAGATGGAGCTGCTGCTTCTTCTCCTTCTTCCCTCTTCGTTGGTGGCCTCGCAACCCCTGTCCTGCCGGGACGTGTGGCAGTGCCAGCCACCGCCGCGGAGCTGCTGATCCACCTCAGCCACCGGCCCAGGATCTCAGCTCATCCCTGCTGTTCCAGCTGAGTGTTCCTCAGAGCCCTGCAGGAGCACCAGGACTGACTGCCAACCCGAGGGGGTTTGTGAAGAAAAGCCTCTCCTCCATCCTTTCCCATCTCAGCCGAGAAAGCTGTCACGGGGTCCCTGGCTCTGTTTTCTTGCTAACACTGTAGTTATTTGTTTGCCTTGTTATAAATATTAGTAAAGAACTGTTATTCCTATCCCCAGATCTCTGCCTGAGAGCCCCTTGATTTCAGGATTATCATAATTCGGAGGGAGGGGATCTACATTTTTCATTCCAGGGGAGGCTCCTGCCCTCCCTAGCAGACACCTGTCTCCCAAAACCAAGACATTTCCATGAGTAAATTTTACAAAGTTTTCAGTGAAATTCTTATTGATAAATTTGGCACCATTTCATTTCTAACAAGCTGTTCCTAAAGATCCCGTCAGGCTGTCTTAGACACTTTGGGCAAGGGATTCCTTCCAAGCTGGGCCACTTGGGGAGGGGATGGGCGCGGCCCCAGGGCAGAGGGCAGGGTGTGCAAGGGCCCTTTGTGACACGCTGCAGCACGGTCACCGTGGGATGGTGGCAACGGGAGCAGATGTCAAAGGGCCCTTTGTGACATGTGCTGACATAGGAGCTGGTGGTGACAGGGCCACGCCACGGTGCTCAGTGCACGCGACGGGTCAGGACGCGCCAGAGCGGTGCTGTGAGGAGCCCCCGCACAGCGCACTCCTTTGTGTTGGACCTGGAGCTTTTCTGAGCCCTTATTACTGCAGCTGAACTCAGGACCACTCCACAGGACTTGGGGACTTGGAGCTTGTCCCAGGCATCTCCAATCCCTGCAGTCACTGCCCCTGAGGCAGACAACAATCAGGAGACTCCTGTGCTTGTGGAAGGAGCCCTCAAGAGCCGACTGCAGGACTTGCTGTCCTGTAGTCTTGCCAGGACTTGAGTCTTGCAGGTGCCTTCCAGGAACGACTGCAGGACTTGCTGCCTCGGTTCTTCTCCCAGGCATCTCTCCTGCAGGTAGCCAGAAATCCAGGCACTGCCATGGAGCGGTGACCC